TACATAAAACAACGTTATAAAATAAATCCTATATAACTGCTACTGTATGTCAGGCCTACACCCCCCAGCTCCTGCCCTGCTTCCTGCACTTTCAGCCCTCTGCCCTGACTCTTGCACCCACACCCCAACCCTCTGCCCTGAGCCCCCCCACTCCATCCCAATTTCTTACAGAAACTGTTGTATTGCAACCCCCACCCTGTTCCCTGAGCCCCCCACAAGGGATGGCAGGTTGTGATAGGTAGGGTTGCCAGATGGTTTCAACAAAAATACCAGACACACTTGACATTACATCACAATGTACATTACATCTTATTTAGAAAATAATATAGTCTCCTATAGACAACCACCTAACCTCAAGATGATTCTTACCAACAGCCACAGGACATACCACACCAATACCAACAATACCAACCCTGGTACCTTCCCTTGCAACAAACCCCGTTGCCAGCTTTGTCCACATATTCATTCTGCTGATACCATTATTGGACCTAACCAAGTGAGTTATAAGATCAAGAACACATATTCCTGCGCATCCAGAAATGTAATTTATGCTATCGTGTGCCGAAAGTGTCCGTCTGCTATGTACATTGGACAAACTTCTCAGACACTTCACCAAAGGATCAATGCCCACAAAACAGATATTAGACAGGATCACAAAGAAAAAACAGTTTCTTGCCATTTCAACTAGAAAGGACATTGTCTCAACGACTTAATAGGGACATTGTCTCAACGACTTAATCATTGTCTCACCTGCATCCTGCTTCAGAGACCTTTTAAATCTGCACTTGAAAGGGAATCCTCTGAACAGTCATTCATGCTAAAATTCGACACTTTACAAGTAGGTCTCAACAAAGACTCTAGTTATCTTACCCATTTCAAAGATAGCTTCCCCAATTATCACCTCTAATACCATTAGCTCACAGACATTTACCTCCCCCCCCGGCATCCCCGTTCTGTCTGAAATTTGATTTGTCCTTTTCATATGTGTTCATTTTTTTTAAATTGTATCCTTTGGTATATATGGTTGTGACTATTTTCTTCCACTATTTGATCTGAGGAAGTGGGTCTGGTCCACGAAAGCTCATTGTCTAATAAACCATCTTGTTAGTCTTTAAAGTGCTACATAGTCCTGTATTTTGCTTCAGACATTTATGTTTTCTCAATTTGTTTCCCGAACAGAAAGCTCAAATACTGGACTGTCCGGTTTAAAACTGGACACCTGGCAACCCTAGATGGGAGAGTACCGGTACAAAATTTAAGTTACTTTCACCCCTGCAACCATATGTAACCCTCTTACAACCTATTCCTGCCTCCAGGCAGTTCCTCCTACTTCCTTTCTCTCCTATGACTGAAGGGGTATTCACAGAGAGGCCATTTCACATTGAATAGGCCCTTGAAATACGTGTTAACTACTTATGCTAACCAATCTGCTCAGCCTTGTATTTAGCAGTGACAGTCTGAACATATATTCCCAGAGCTGAAGAAGAGCTCCCTGTAAACAGAAAAACTTGTCTCTCTCACCCACGGAGGTTGGTCCAATAAAAGATATCACCTCACCCATCTTGTCTCTCTTTGTAACTAAACTAATTTGGATTTGAAGACTAGCATTTAGGTGTCCCCAAAACCCATCCAACACATTCCTGAAAGTCAGGATTGCAGAAGGTTGCAACAATCCAGTCCTCAAGGCAGTCTAAGCTGTTGCGTCTGAACACATCCACTGCACAATAGCAGCACTATAAAGTGCCCTTTCCAGGAGCGTGAGGGCTACTGAAAACTGAAGCTTGGTTCTGCACGAACCTCATTACTTAGGGAGAATAATAAAGGCTCATTGAACTGTGACAGTTAGACAAGCAATGATGATCAACAACAAAATGTTAAGAAAAACTAGGTCTACAAAAGCAAGCACTCACCACTTTAAAAGCAAGCAGCCTTACACAGTTGCTGTTCTCTTTTGCCAGGGCTACTCAACTTTGGGCCACAGTGATAGTCACAGCACATGCCAAAGGCCGCAACTGAAGTGTGGTTGCATATACATGTGAATATATATGCAAATATATGCAAATAGCTTCTTTCACACTGCTGGGCATGAATACAAAGATTAAGGCAAGACAACACAACATGCAGGCCTCATTTAAGTCAGTTCTGCTGATTTTAAGAAAATGCAATATTCACCTGATTTCCACCCATATGTCAGCACTTTTAATGAGTAATGACAGTCCAGGAATTGAACTTCTAAAACACATATCAACTGAAGACCAGTATATTGACTCCTTTTTTGTTTTGGCTTCGCAAGAGTTCAGGAACCTCTCAGGCTCTGCCCACAAGGCAAATCAGCCAGCACTTCCCACAGTGCCTGAACTCTTGTAAAGCCAAAACAAAAAAGTAGTCAATATACCTGAATATACTGGTCTCCTACAGTGCTCCCAGCACCTCCTCCCTGGGGGCTAGAAACGCTGACACCCTGTTCCCATCTGTTTCAGCCAGCCCGTCCGCTTGCGTCTTCAATGCTCACTCGCCTGGGAGATGCCTTGCCGTTGTGGAGCGTGTTCCCAGTGGATGCCGTGTTCAAAGGATCCCACCCACGGGCTGCGTGTTGAGTAGCCTTGTCTTAGGCCATGTCTACACTGAAAAATTAAGTCAACCTAATTTATATTGGCACATAGTTGTCACAGTAATTAATTCACTTGTGTGTGTCTACACTTTGCTCCTTGAGTCTATAGTGCATGGTCTTACCAGGCGTGCTTGTATCAATTGTACTGTTAGTGTGAGGCGTTGTGGGATGGCTCCCTAAAGCCTGTAACAGTCAACATAAGCAACGCAGTGTTTACACCAGGGGTGGACAATCATTTTTGGGGCTACTCCAAGAATTTGGTAAGTGGTCAAGAGTCGCATTCTTCTGTGATATTAATGGAGGAGATGCAGGGTCTGAAATGGAGATTGAGTGCAGAAGGGAGCTCGGTGTTGGGAATTGGGGTGCAGGAGGGTGTGTGAGGTCTGGGAGAGGGTTGTGATCAAGGATGGAGATGCAGAGGGTTTGGGTTTGTTATGTTGGGCAGGAGGAGGTTGTGACCAGGGGCAAGGGATTGTGATTGTGATGCAGGAGGGGATGCAGAGTCCGGGAGGGGGTATGGGTGCAGGACAGGATTCTGACCTGGAGGAGCGGTGTAGGGGGTGTGCGGGGTCCAGAGGGCGGTGGTGCAGAGGGTTTGTGCTGTGACCTGTGGCATGGAATTGGGGTATGGGGGGGGATGGTTTGCCAGGTGCAGGCTTTGGCTGGGAGGCACTTACCTTAAGTGGCTCCAAAACAGCAGCCCAGTGGGCAGGCTTCCTGCCTGCTCCATTCCTGTATGGTGCTCAAAGCAGCTGGCTGCTGGGGCCATGTGCATATCTGTGCACCACATGCCCTTGGGGGAGGGAGGGGCTTCTCCGCACAGCCTGCACTGCAAGCACAATCCGGGTCGCTCCCATTGGCTGGCTGGATCTGAAGGCATGACGGGCCAGATTCGGCCCACAGGCTCTATTTTGCCCTCCCCTACTTTACACTGACATTACATTGGCCTGAAATCTTCACTGCTTATGGAGGTGGCATTAGTAAGTTGGCATAGCCAGGCAGTTATGTCAGTGGCAGTAGAATTTAAACAAAGACACGTCCATAGTTAGGCTGCCTTGTATCAACCTAACTGTGGAGTGTAGACCAGACCTTAAAAATGCTTTGCAGAGCAATCGGAGGCATCTGTTTTCCTTCCCTCCTTACTTTCATTTGGAATTGTCACTGTAAAATCTATTTCTATTCTCAACCCCTAGGCTATGTCTAGACTGCAAGCCTCTTTTGAAAGAGCCTCTTTTGAAAGAGAGTGTCTAGACTGCACGTTGAACTTTCGAAAAAGCGGCTTGCTTTTTCGAAAGAAAGCATCCAGTGAGTCTGGATGCTCTCTTTTGAAGAAGCCCTATTTACATTGAAGAACGCCTTCTTTCGAAAGAAGAACTTTCGAAAGAAGGCGTTCTTCCTCGTGAAATGAGGTTTACCGCCATCGAAAGAAAAGCCGCGTTCTTTCGATTTAATTTCGAAAGAACGCGGCTTGAGTCTGGACGCAGGGGAAGTTTTTTCGGAAAAAGGCTACTTTTCCCGAAAAAACCCCTGAGTCTGGACACAGCCCTAGCTAGTAACATCTACTGTATATTTGAAAGAGTTTGTCTGTCTGTGAGTGTGTCTGTTCAAAAACTCCTCCTAAATGCTAAAAGCTTCCTCTTATCATAACTTAAAACAAGGTAATGGTTTGGTTGTGCCAGAAAATTGGGTTGTGCCTGTGTTATAGCTCTTACGGGGTTCAAATCTCCTCACCCCCAAAGTCACAACTGATTCTTGACACTGCCAATGGCGGCTCGAATTTTACTGATTCCCTCTCCCTTTTGCGAGCTTGGTGTTCCCCTTTTTTATCTTCCAGTATGGCCAGACGACCACACTGCCTGAGGGGGCCATGCCCCTAGTGTCGGGGAAGGGGGCTCGGGCCCTCCCTCTCTCCGAGCCCCAGCTCAGGGCCTTAAGGTGGGGACCTCGGTCCCTGCTCAGAGGAGGGGGCTGTAGCCCCTAAACTCCTCCACTCACGGGGTTCACGGCTCTGCCCTGGGCCACTTCTTCCCTAGGTCCATAATTAATTCTGGCCCTCTGGGTCAGGGTTAGGACTCACCGCTGCCATCCCCCAGCCTGTGTCCTTTTGCGAAGTGCTCCGTGTGCTGGTCTCCACTCCGCCTTTGCTTTCGTTTCTCTAACCCTCTTCCCCTTTTCCTCTTCCTTCCTCCCCTCCCTGGCTTCCTCACACACTTTTAAATCCCCCGCCGTGGCGTCCGGGGACGGCCTTCCCCTGACGTCCTTGCCCCGCCCCCCAGTGTCCGCCATGTGACGTCACGGGCAACATCATCCGCGGGCGCTGGCAGTGGTGGGCGGACCGCATTCCCCGCTTTGCCGCCCGCACTCCCCTCGGCCATTCCCTGGCAGGGGTTTTCCGGCAGGTCTCCGTCCCTGCCTGGCCCTCCTCCGGGCTCCCCAGCTCGGGGCAGCTCTCAGTGCGGGGCGGAGGTGCCCCGTCACAGCCTGGAATGGGATTTATTCTCAGAAAACCAGTCAGAAAAAAGGAGAGAATCACTAGGTAGGTGAAAGGGGCTGGCCCCTCCTTCCCTGTCCAGGATTGCCCCAAGCCTTCTGCTCCCAGGCGCTGTTTAGGGAGGATGGGACTGAAGCTGCTTTCCTACTCCCAGTTTCATACGGGAACTTTGCGGGCTGTTCACCTTCATTAGAGAGCAAGGGGAAAGTGCACAGTTTGCTGCATTCCTCACTCTGTCTGGGGAGCACAGGGGGGCAGACAAACCTGAACCTGTGCACCCTACCCCCAGCTGTGCCCCCTGGAGCTGCAGCAACCACGGAGAGGTGCTTCTAACCTGGCCCCAAACTGCTGTGGTTGATAGGGTGGGGATAGGGTAGTTCTCTCTTCCTGCAGCAGCCTACAAACTGAATCCCTTGTCCCCAGCCCTACCCCAGAGCAATGATTTAAATGAAGAAAAACAAAAATTACTTGAGTTAAGGACGGAAGCAATGCAGAGTACATTTTGTAATATAAAATAATAATAAACATCTCATGTTGTGTTTCAAGCACACTAACTCCTGGGCACACAATATATGTGTTCACTAGTAGAGAGGTCAAGTGAAGAACAGGAAAGAAGAGGTCACTAACCCAATGAAAGGGAGAAAAAAGAACCTTTTGCTATACACCAAGCTTTTACTCAAACCCATACCCATGACTGCTGGAGGAAGGATATCTCGAGGATCAGAGTAGATATGGACCCAAATCAAAGACCTGAATCTTAAACACACAAGTCCTCGACTGAAATCAAAATCCAGATTGGAAATGTGTAACTGACCCCATATCTCTGTAATGGTCTCAATCTAAATCTCTGATCGGAACACAGGAACTCTGGGAATATTCAGAATCAGATGTGATCTTTGCGGTATGGGCTTATGTCTAATCAATATACAAATGAGGAATGGGGTAGCAGTATTGCCAATCCAAAGCATTAAGAAGCATGAGTCAGTCAGCCTGCCTTTCCCTCCTTCCCAAAGATTGATTTAAAAAAGCATGAGATTTTGAAAGTGATGAATATGGAATGTTCCCTTCTGGTTTTTTAACCTTTATATTCAATATCTCAAGCTTTTCTCTGCCGTTATGAAGACTGGGTACTTACTTTAATAAAAGGTGAAATTCTCACACAGTCATGACTTCGGGAACTGGGGCATTAAGAAAAACACCAAATGATAAAATGTGAGAGTTGGCAACACACACTGAGTTAGCCACTTGTTAGTGGGCTGGTGTACCTGGTGCGTAATAAGTTCTCTAGGGTGTGATTTCTAAAAAACACTAAAGCATTGCCCATTAACTGGTCTGTGTAGCTGCTGCACTTTAAGGTAGTAGTGAAATCATACTACATTAAAGCACACTAGAGAACCTTTTGTGTGCACCAGCAGGGTCTATAGCCCACTTTAGAATTTGAGCCTCCATAGGGAGTTATCCTACTGTGTTGACAAATCCAGTGATATTATCCCCTGCCAGGGGCATCACAGCCACAGAACTGGGACAGGAGCCCAGAAATCCAGGTTTCTAATCCTTCTCTCGCATTCACTCTGTTTGTTGTGCAGGCCAAACCACTTACAGCATGATTTCCAGAGGTGATGAGCACTAGCGTTGCCATTCCAGCCCCACCCAGTGCACCTGCCTTGCAGGCAGGCATTTTTGTGGCAGACAAGCCCTTTCATAATCTTTCCCTTGCCCGGGATTTCAGCAAGTCCGAACAGCCAGTTATGTGTCAAGGAGCAGCTCTCTTTGGAGGTTCTCGTGGGTTAACAGAAAAGCCAATGCAGAACACAAACAAATCTTTCACCCCAGCATCCCAGCAGTGTGACTGGGTTGTGCTTAGTCCAAGTTCCCCACCTGAGTCTAGCATTCATCTCAACTCAAGTTCTTCCTCCCAGGTTCTTATTTCCTTTAGGCCCGTGGTCACCAACCAGTAGATCACGATCTACTGATAGATCTCGGAGGCTCTAAGAGTAGCTCTTGAGCCCTCTCTGAACTGCGTGCCTGTGCAGTATATTTACATTAGATTACCTCATTTGAGGAGCAGCTACTCACCGAGCAACAGCACAGGTGAGTAGCTGCGAGGAATGGTGGGAATTTTTTTTTTAAGTAGCAGTATAAGGATTGGGGATAGCAAGTGATGGAGAGGAGGAAAATAGAAAGGGCGGGGCTTCAAGGAAGGTGCGGGGCGGTAGATCTTGGCTTGATCTGTCATTTAAAAAGTGATCTTGGGTGTAAAAATGTTGGAGACCACTGCATAGGCCTTTTGCCCCTACCAGCGTAATGTCTTTCTCTGGAGTCTGGGTAGCAGGTCTGTGCCCTGCTACTCTTCTCTTGGGACAGAGGATGATCCTGGCCAGGCTTTTGGGGACCCCTGGGTGAGACCAGGAACTGCTGAATGCCAGATGCCGGCCAGCAACCCTCTGTAGGAGCTCTTCTTGCAGGTTGTGCCAGAGAGCTCAGGTTCTAGGCCCTAAAAAGGGGAGGGGGACACAGGCTTCTGAACCACCTTGCTGCCCCCTCAGCCTGGTGCTGCCCCCCTAAGACCCTGCCCTCACCCCTTTTCTCCTGAGGACCCACCCTCACACTGCCCCTTCCCCACAAGTCTCCCTTACCACCTCTTCCCCCTAAGACTTTGTCCCGTCCCTCACCCTTATGCCTGATAAAAAGTGGAAGGATCCATGCCCCCCATTCTGGTGCCCCTGGATCAGGCTTCTGCTAGAGACTCCCCTCCTCAGGCACCTCCTGTCTCCCTTTGGAGTGAGCTTGGGTAACCTTCACTAGGCCCAGGTTCTTGTTTACTAATCAGCCACCTGGACAGTCAGTGACCCTAGGTGGGGCTCCATCAGGCAGTCATGGGCACCTTGGGCCCTAGCTTCTCATAAAGAGCAGCTGCCCCAGCACAGAGCTTCAGATACCCAGCACCTCTGAAAATGAGACTCTAAACCCATCATGTCTACACTATAAAGTTACATCGGCCTAACGGCATTACCCAGGTATGCCAAAAATCCACACCCCTGAGCAATGCAGCAAAACCGACCTATCTCATACCACTGCTATGTCCATGGGAGGGCTTCTCTCACCAACATCACTATCACCTTTTGTAGAGGGGGATTTACTATGCCAATGGTCCTGTCAGCATAGTAGCATTGTCAGTGATGTGCTTCAGCAGCACAGCTTTGTGAAAGAGGGTAAAAATACCTGCCTATTGGGCCTGGAGAAGATTAACAGAGCTTTGTAGTTGAAAAGTATTATGTGTTAATCAGCCATATTTCTGTAGAAGGGTCCTTTTGTGCTGTCAGTCATAGTCTTTAAAAGCTCCTTTGGGTTAGAGGTAACAGAAATTAATTCTCACTTAGCCCAGCTGTGTATATTTGCTCTTAGTATTCCCTCTAATTTTTTCCATCCATTTGCAGAATAAATTTTGTTATGTGCACCGAGACATATGTGGATGTGCACTACCAGCAGAAACACATGCTACCTGCTCTGCAAATTATCAGAGTAGAATTTGAATCTCTCCTGGGTGGCCGCCCAACCACTATAGAATTTGAATCTCTCCTGGGTGGTCGCCCAAGCACTCAGCTTCCAGGGAACACCGTTGACTAAAACACTGGTGAGCCCTTTGAAGGCTGTGGCCCCATTAAGCATTCATTTGGGTGGCTGCCTGGAAAAGGGCAGGATTTTTCTAGTATTTAAGGGCTGATTTTAGGAATTGATGTTAGGGATCAGATGATCTTCTTTCCCCAAAGGGCCACGATAGCTACGTTTAGAGCAGGACAGCCATTTTTAGTTTCTTACCCTTTTAAAATGACTAAATCTTGTCTGTCAGCTTCGTATATGAATTATTCCATTTCTAGGCAAGCCTCTTGACTACAGCAAAACAAAAAAGCTGCATTGTTTGGTTAAAAGGTGCATGTCACGGAGTATTGCATTTGTCAGTGAAGTAAATAAGCTGCCATTGGCCTTATCCCCAGTTGTGGCTTTATGCAAGAGCAGACCTTGCTGAAGCTTTGTTGCAAAGCTGGTACATTTAACAGAAGAATGAGCAATAAAGCAACGTAGAAACTTGTGCTCCTAATACATGGCTGTAGACTCAGATAAGGGGAAAAATAGCTGTCCTTTTTCCAGCCCATAGGCAATATCTAGGCAGTACAGCAGAGAGGAAGATGAGTTTGCAAAGTCTCTTCAGATCCTTTTTTAGTCCTTTGCTAACTTAAATCCAGACCAAAAACGTGGTCTGACGAAGAAGACACTGGTGCTGTTTTCTTGCTGTGTTTTATAATAGGCTGAATCTTTCTCTTATGGACAGACAAGTCTGTTCCTGCTCTCATTGACGGGGCTTTAGCTGCTGATCGCAATTGAAGCAGATCATTTTCTGTTAGGCTACGTCTACACTGCGGGTTTTTTGTGGAAGAGGAAATGCAAAAGGAGCGCTAATTTGCATAGCTTGTGTTCTCATTTGCTTATCTTCTTCCAATCCTTTTTGCAGAAGAGGTTTTTTTTTATAAAAAGCTCTATGTGGACGGGACCATTTGTCGGGAAAAACAACCTTTTGCGCAAGAGCCCTTATTCCTCAAAAAATGAGGTTTACAGGCGCTTGTGCAAAAGGTTTTTTTTTCCCGACAAATGGCCCTGTCTACCCAGGGCTTTTTATAGCAAAAACCTCTTCCGCAAAAAGGATTGAAAGAAGATATGCAAATGAGAGTGCAAGATATGCAAATTAGCATTCCATTCGCATTTCCTCTTCCACAAAAAACCTGCGGCATACATGTAGTCTCAGTGAAATGATGGACTTTCTGTGAGTTTCTACTGTACGGAAGGAAAGAGCTGAACAGTACAAGACATGCATTCCTGGGGACAAGTCTGGTGACTGGGAATTTGCTGGTGTTGCTCTGTAATGTAATTCAGGGTTTTTCAAACTTTAGGTCGTGGTTCATACGGGTTAGCCACTACCTACTAATTTGCATAGCTTGTGTTCTCATTTGCTTATCTTCTTCCAATCCTTTTTGCAGAAGAGGTTTTTT